ACGCGGCTTTCTCGGTTTAACAGGCTACTACCACAAGTTCATGAAAAACTATGGAAAGATCAGTACACCCCTTACTTCCTTGCTGAAAAAATATGCTTTCCAATGGTCAGACAAAGCCACCACCGCCTTCGACGAACTTAAAGCCACAATGACGACAACGCCCGTACTAGCGCTACCCGACTTCGGCAAGACTTTTGTTATTGAAGTCGATGCCTCCGGAGTCGGAATTAGTATTGTACTAATGCAAGATAGTCGCCTCCTCGCTAATAGCCAAATACCAGTAAGGCATTATCTCCTTCCCATCTCAAGATGATTATTTACGATAAGAAGATGCTCGCGATTGTGCGTGCGGTGACCAAATGGAGATCGTACTTGATCGAGCGACACTTTCAAATCAAGACCGACCATAAAAGCCTAAAATATTTCTTGGACTAGAAGATAGAATGTTGTTACAAATGTGCTTTCGCGGCTACTCGAGCAAGCTAATTTTTTTATCGTTTCACTTCCGACCAGCGACTTCCTTGAGGATATTAAGAGGGAATGGCAGGAAGATTTGGAGACCAGTAAGATCATAAAAAAATTGGAGGAAGCACCAAGCTCCGTGGCTCATTACAGTTGGGACTCAAAAGAATTGCGCTCTAAGGAACGCATTGTGCTTGTGCCAAATTCTATTTGCATAAAGACCATCCTTCCAAAGATGCATTCCACACCTATGGTCGGGCACTCTGAGTTCCTTAGAACCTATAAGAGAATTAAGCAAATTTTTTATTGGGTAGGGATGAAAAATATTATTACTAAATTTGTGGCACAATGTGATGTATGTCAACGACATAAAGGCGAGACAGTGGCAAGCCCCGGAAAGCTGCAACCTCTACCCGTCTCGGACTCAATATGGACTAATATATCAATGGACTTCATCGAAGGACTTCCCTCATCACAATGAAAAAGTACAATTCTTGTTGTGGTTGATCGCCTTACAAAGTATGCTCACTTTTGCGCTGTTCATAATCCCTACACCACTTCTAGTATTGCTCGAATCTTTATGGAGAATATTATAAAATTGCATGGGATGTCGAGATCTATTGTAAGTGATCGTGATAGGGTCTTCACAAGCAGATTTTAGACAGAGTTATTGCAGATGCAAGGCACTAAATTGAAAATGAGTACGGCATATCACCCACAAATCGACGGCCAGACTGAAGTGGTGAACAGGTGCTTGGAGACATACCTCAGATGCTTCACCAGTGACCGGCCAAAAGAGTGGACAAAGTGGCTTCCCCTGAGCCGAGTGGTGGTATAATACAACTTATCATTTATCCACAAAATGTACTCCCTATGAGGCTATGTATGACCGACCTCCCCCTGTGATTCCAAAATATGTGTTGGACACCTCTAAAGTAGAACAAGTAGACAGGGAACTATAGGACAGAGATAAAATGCTAAAGTTACTAAAAGATAATCTCAATGCAGCCCAAGCAAGTATAAAACAGCAATATGATCAACACAAAGGCGAAAGAGAATTTTTAGTAGGAGATTAGGTCTTCCTACGGCTCCAGCCATACAAGCAAACATCAATCCAGACCAAAGCATCTATGAAGCTTTCACCTCGGTTCTATGGACCCTACCAAATTTTGGAGCTCATCGAAGCGATAGCATACAGATTGGACTTACCCGTTAGCTCTCGAATCCATCCAGTCTTCCATGTGTCATGTTTAAAGCTCAAGCTGGGACAAAACGAGACAGCCCAAAGCCATCTACTAAATATGACTACCCAAGGAGAACTCCAAACCCAACCGAGTGCCATTATTAATCGACGAATGGTGACCCGACGACGACAACCCACCACTGAAGTGCTAATACAGTGGGCGAACCTACCAGCAGAAGATGCCACTTGGGAGAACTATGACGACTTGAAGATCAAATTCCCAAAATTCATGAATCGTCAGCCTCGAGGACAAGGCTGATTTAAAGAGGGTGGGTCTGTTAGGACTCTAGCTTGGAGAGTCCTAATTGAATCTTATTGAAAGGGGAATTCATGTAAAACCTACATAGTCGACCCCTATTAAAGAGGTGAAGAGGCCTGCTAGGGTTAGGGTTAGTTGGGAGGTTGCTTTTTAGAGTATGAGTCTTATTAGGAGTTGGTTAAAAGTAAGAGTCTTGAGTAGGAGTCCTATTAGGAGTTAGGGTTTAGAAGCCCTATAAATAGTCATGTATTCATCCTATTTTGACAAGCAATAGATGAATCTTCTTAGCAGCCTTTGAGCAGCAACTTGGAGGAAGGAACCCCTATAGAGTTCCAAGGAGGCCGATCCCTTAAAGAGATTAACCTCAAGTTTAGAATCTGCTAGGGTTCTAACACCATGACAACCTCTAATAGATATGACGCCCTCACGAGTACTTATGTGGTTGATGACTCTGAGGTGGAAGAAGATGGAAATTCTACATTTGCCAACCTTCAACTCAGTGTGGAAAAGTAACATGCCTCTAAGAGATAAGCAGAGTGCAGAGTGGGAGACATTCTATATGATTTTTATTTTTATTTTGATTGTTGATAGGGCCTTACTTTATATTACTTTGTATGCTGCCTTTGTTTCATAGGCTTTGGTCTGTCTCTTTTTGTCCCTATGCTCTGTCGTAGTGGAACGAGTCCATGCTACATTGTAGTATATCCTTTTTCTTTATATCAATACTATTCTTGCCTTTTTGCACCAAAAAAAAAGAAAACAGAAAGCTAAAAAGGGCAAGGCCCCCATCAAAAGAAAGGCAAAGACAAACACTAATACAAGGTCAAATTAAATGTGAAATATGAAAAGGTGCAGCTCAAAGAAGAGCAAGGACAAAAGAGGAAAAAGGAATGAAAAGAAATAAGCACGAAGAGCTACAATGTGGGCAGAAATCTCATCTTCGGCTTCGAGCTATAAAGAGTTACAAAACAAATAAGTAGGGTTTGTTGTACCGATGTATACCACCCGGTACGTGCAGTACATACAGATATACGAACCACCCTCTATCGAGCAATACCGGTCACTGGACCTCGTATCGAGTGATACAGGATCTGTATCGGGTGGTTACAATCAAAATCCGACCATTACTGACTTGTAACGATCGATAACGGTCAGATTTCAACCATTACTAATCAAGGGCTGAGAATGCCCTATTTCAAACGTTCAATCTTTTAAACTCTCAGACTCTTTTTCACTCACATCTCTCTCTTATTCTTACATTTTCACTCTCCTAAACTCAACAAAGCTATGATTTGTGAATTAGATCAAATTTAGGAGGCTAATTTGGAAGAATTAAGAGGAAGAACACTCTGATCAAGAGGTATGTATTCTCTTCCAAGATTTTTGTTAATTTATGAGATGATTAAGCCTATTCTATATGGTGTATGACTTAATGTCTAATATGTTGTTTGATATGTTTTTGATGGAAGAATAATTTTAATTAGGGAGCAATCAAGGCCTTTAATGTTGTGATTAGTATGTTTAATATTGATTTTTTTCGAAATTAAACACTTAATAGGTCAAATCTTTACATTTCATGCATATTAAGGATTGGAGCATATGTTTATGATAGTATATAATAGGCTTAAGTAAGTTTAAATTAAGTTTTTTAATACTGTGATTAATAGTTTTAATGATGATTTAATCAAAATTTAATTGATATTGGGTTGATTTATATTATTTTTGTTAAAATTATACTAAATTTATATTTATTTCTAACTTAAAAACCCTAATCTAACTTATTTTTCAAGTATTTTTTAGAGGATTTTTTTATGATTTTTGGCGTACCGTCGATATGCCCTGGTGTATCATTGGTACGCCTTGGTATGTACCGTACTGAGAAGGGCTCGACACACTAGTACTAACCAAAATTGTAATTTTTGCAAATAAGCATGCAGAAATTTTAAAACTTAATTTTCTTTTCTATTTATTTACTCACTGAGTTGATATTTTCAATTAAATCTCACAAAATTGACCCTGGTGCCTTATGTCAATGCCCAGATGCAGAATTTGTTACCTATCTATTTCTAGAATACCTCTGGAACTTTTTTCTAGATTATATCCATGTATTTTGAACAAGCTCATCCACATCATCTAGGAAAAAGGCAAGTAAGATGATGCTACTAACCATTGTACATATTCCGATGAATCTATTTAGTTTGTGTTGGTAAAGCCAACCAATATATACTCTATAATCATGATATATTCAAATTTTGACCCTAATTTTTTTCCAATGACAAACATCCATCCTTCTTATAGCATGATGTATGAGCTTTGATTTCTATTGATTCCTATATTCATTTGAACAGAAGTCAGAGTAGCCTGAAGGCTGATTTTTATAATTGTCACTTAAGCTTTACCTTTGATGTAAAATGTCACATTTTGAATGCAGTTGTTGACTCATCTTTATGTGTAAGTTATACCATGAAAGGTACGAAGCTGTCATGAGCTTATTTGGATTTTCTTGATATATACTTGCACATGGATTTGAATATTCTGTTCACATAGTGGATTTCTCCATAACTTCAGAGTAAAAGCTGTGAGTTAAAGCATTGCTTAAACATGAGGCTATTTTTGTTATTTGGAAACCATCTCTTGGTTCTGTTTCTAATCAGTGTGAGTAGCACACACCTCTCCCTATCCATTTTTTGCGCAACACCTTAATTGGACCAAGCATGACTCATATCTCAAAAGTGGCCACCAAATTCCCTTTTGAAATTAGCTATCAACAGGACCCTTGAGATAATGGTTGGATTGGTCAGAAACAATCAAATTGCCAATATGTCAATTGTTGAAAATATTTGTAAAAACATGACTATCAAAATCATCACGAACCAACTAAGGTAACCTATACAGGAGGCAAATACTCCGTGATACAATAAATTTATTTTTATTTCCTTAACAAAAACAATGGTGAGAAAGAAAAGTTTCCAAAGTATATCTGATGTAAACCATACTAAGTCCTCTAGACCATTCTGAAGTAATCAAGTGCCATACCTCAGACAGAAGACTGCTTGCTTCACCAAACAGTTGTTGCTCCTCCAACTTAAGCATCTGCATGGATGCAAATCCTTCTGAACATACTATCACATAGCTACTTTGCAAATAACTGCAAATGTATAAATGCCCTCAAACAAAAGTAACATACAGAAGCATAGAGAAGATATTGTAAGAACAAGCAGCCACAACTACAGGAATAGAAATAGTGCATGGGCAGTAATGATAACTAAAATACATCTGTGATAATTGTGAACAAAATTGAACTTTATCCATGTAAATACAAAATTAACATTTGTTTAAATATTTTTGTAGTAAAATGCAACCAGAGAAAGACATTTGTTGGTGGGTACACAAACAATGGAATTAAGATAATAGTTCAATGATTATCAGATGATCAATAAGGGCATTGCAAAAACTTCCAAAGGCCACTTTGGTGTTGTATAACAGCTGCCGGATAGTAACAAACCCAGGACATACTTCACTGTGTACTTATTCAGAAAGTCAACAATTCTAAAGATACATTGTTGATAGGCATCAGTAGTAGTCTTTAGATAGACACATATTACAATGTTACCAAGGCACTAATTGGAAATAGCAAAGGAATTGAATAAAAGATTTATCTCATAATATAGGACCATCTATGTTTGAATAATGCCCCATGAAATCTGTTGGCCCCTGTATACATGAATTTGAAATATGCTAAGGTTCACTAGAACATTGCAGTGTATCATAACAGATCTTGCAGATAAAATGACAAGAAAAAATTATCTTCTTTCATGGTGCATTTTTAATAATAGGCACTCAAGGTGATCTCTCAAACATACTAGATTCGCCTGGATAACTAGACGAGAATAGATATTTTACGGCCATGAGATAAATATGCACTTAATGAGAATCAAGGCAGATCTTGGAAATACAGCACAAAATAGATTTATCATAAATGTTCATGCATTCACTATAAGATTCATATCCAAGTGACTAATTGCAAAAGATTATTTTGAATTTTGTGCGACAGTAACAAAAAGATCATTACCTTTGCAGGTACATTGTGGAAGGCTGACTCAACATCATACACTTGGAACCTGTGAACAGACAACATGAACCAATACAATCACTAAGAATTAAGGGAAAAAAGAGAACAAATGTTCTTCATAAGTGGGGCAAAAGAATCAACTGATATAGATTAAAGTTTGCTGAAATTAGACTGATAACTTTTAAAGCTTACACCAGATGTTGCAGAACCTCAAATTGGTAATTGATGATAATGTTTTGTGTCCACACTGGATTTGCTGAATTTAGTATCACTTCAGTGCGACCAAGCTCTTCAAGTTTTCCATCTCTTTGTTTGGCATAAACAATAGCCAAAGAATCACTCTACAAAAGACATTAGATTTACCAGGACCCAAAAATTCATCCTTTAAACAACTACAAAACTACCGTCATGTGTTAGCACAAGCCAAAGGGTTAATGAAGGATGATGCATGATACCAGGAAGTAAAAACAAGATATACAATTGCTGGAAGGCACATAGATACTCAAGATCTAATTTACACAACAGAAAAAAGGGGATATGACAAAAGTCAGCAGCATTCTCATTTTTCAAAGAACAAAGCAATAAGATTATCTGATTTCAGACCTCAATATACAATTATGATCAAACCAATGTGTAGTTAGATAAGAAAAGAAATTACCTGACTTTGAACAAGCCCTTAAACATAAGAGAGCGCAGAGACAGGAGAAATAATATATCACAATCTAACTAGATGATTAAAAAAGAAAAGAAATTACCTCATTTTGAACAAGTCCATACACATAAGAGAGAGGAGGGATAGAATAAATAAAATACCAAAATCTAACTAGATGGTACAGTGAGACTAACAACTCCAGCAGAGATAAAAAAAACATCAATCTGAAACAATCCACCTCTTGTGATGCAAGGCAAGAAAGAAAATAAATTTCTCCTGAAGGCACAGAATTTCTAGGTTTATAAAATGGAGAATGAGTCAATAGGAAGGCATGAAAACTCAAAGAACCCAAACTCTTAAGTCTCAAGCACAAAATGTCAAACTGGAACACAATGCTGACTGAATAAATGTATTTGAATATTTCCAGCCAACAAGAAAATGCAAGTTAACTTGCAGAAATGAATAAATTATATAATCTCTTTATCTGAAAGAAAGTGTACCTTTGAAAGCACATCCTGATCACACAAGTCTGTAGCAGACAAGGATAGCTGTCAACAATGCCATAAAAAGAAAATAGTTAACTACAAAAAGATAGTCACAGAGACATAACAATTGCTGAAGCATGTCACAAGCAAGTAAACCAACATAATATTAAATCTCAGGTAATCAAAACGCCCATAAGAAAATGATACATTATTCTTCAGGACAAAACCTTTCTTAAAGTATCATATTTTTTCCTCACCAGCAAACGACTGAATGCCAAACCTCAGGATATCAGTGACCTATATAGCTTTAAACTTCCACTCCAAACACACTATTGCAGGCAAGAGGGCAACTGAAGATATAGCTGGAATTAATATGCATACTCTTTTACTCTTTAACTAGCGACGGGATGTAATCATTAATTGTTGTATTTATATCATCAAACATTGATTGACGAATTTCAACTGTGAAATCTACCTCAATTAGCATATTTGTGAGATCAAAAAATAATGTTTTGCCATTTTATTCATGTAGCATGTCATGCATCAAGAAAAGCGAGCATTCTAAAGCTCATCAAAATAGAATTTATGAAAGAGTGTCGGAATGTCTCAAAAAAATTAACCACCCGAAGGCATCATCTCGACACACACATGAAAATTAAGCAACCTTAAACCACTGATCTCAAGCATTTCCACTACCACCCAATGAAATCCACAGCGACCTAAGTCGCACAGTTCCGAAAGAGGAACGAAAGGAACAACGGAGCTGAGACTTTCTAGGGTTTTACGATGAGGGATCCGGATGGAGATGCCGACCTCGATCTGGGTATAGGGGCTACGTAGGCAGCGAGATTTGAGGAAGAGGTCGACAGCACCGTCGGCGCCGCTCTTCAACCCAGCGCCACCGGCTACGGCGGCGGCGGCGCCACCGACCGGGCGGCCGCCCTGGCCGTCGCCGGAGAAGCAGTTACCCATGGACGCCGAATCTACCGGTACGGGCTGCGAGGAGGAAAAGTAGGAACGAAGAGGGGAGGCGGCGAGAGAGACGCTCCGAGAGCCGAGAGACGTGCGTCGAAAGGAGAAACGAGTGAGAGTAGGAGCTGAAGAGAACGAGAAAGCGCGTAGGAAAGAGAGCGACGTGTTCACATGGCACTATCTAAGTGAGGATATTCTGCATGACGAATACAGAATTCAGCATTTTGTGCAATAACTGTATCTCACAAGTGGGGCGTTCCAAAACACAGCAGTCGAGATCTTGAACGCTATAGTAAACAGCACAGATGATCGAGAACACGGTACGTTGAGCTCGAGCGCGTGCGGTTACGGGGGACCCGAGGCAGCATATCGCCGTTGGATACGTGGTCCGTGCTTTGAGATAAGCGCACTAGCCCTTCGGCTCGGTTCCGGATCCCTCTTGCGACCTCGACGGGGGTTAAAAGACGAAAACACCGATTGGAAACCAGAGTTTTGGGACTACTCATTGGCTTGGACCAATTAAGCTATTTATGTAAACAACATCAGTAACAGTTAATTACAATAATTCTGCTATTGAGATGGACCCAATCGATCAAGTCTTTTCTGACTTTATGTCGAAAAATGGCAATAATTAGAGACAAGGGAGACCTGGAACATCAATTCTGTTCTTTTTGTCCCTAGCTATCGACATTTGTTTAATCCAAGAATCTAAGAACTAATGAGTTATCTTATCTTTCCCAAAGTTTCAGTTGGGAAGGAGTTCAAGATAAATGAGCCAATTACAAGCTTGGTCCCATGTTCGTGAACAACTTGCCTTGTATTAGTTGCCACCATTTCATAAATAAGTGCAATGAAGCATCAAGCTCATATCGTGCAACTTTACCATAACGATATACATAATACTGATGATACTGTGACGTGCCGACCACTCCAACACTTCAGAATTATAGAACCTAGATGACTACGAGAGTGTACACAGTGATGCGTGCGACCACAAGACCAAAGCACGCTCATTCGACAATCAAGAAACAGCTAGATTTGAAGGTTGCAAGTTGAAATATTGGGCACATTCATTCCACAATAAAAAAAAGAGGGCTAGAGTTTAAGGTCTGCAAACATCTGAAAGGAAAACAGGGACAAACTCAAGCAAGAATAGGGATGGCAAGAGCAAACAGTTAGTTGTCAACGGACAGCTTCCGCCGCTTGTATCGCACCATCACTTCACCTTTGACACCAACTACCATGGCATTCCAGTCATTCTCGGGGAAGGGAGATATCAACTCAAACTCAAAGTTCCTCAGCAAGTGGCTCCATATTGCCTTGATCTGCAAGTAAGCAAAAGGCTCTCCCAGGCATCCATGCCTGCCACCGCCAAATGAAATGTATGAGAAGGCTCCCGCAGCCTTGTCTTCCTCTCTCCCAGGTAGAAATCTGTCAGGATCATAGGTATCTGGGTCCTTGAAGATGTACGGTAGCCGGTTTGCGAAAGATGGGGATGTGGCTACAATGTGGCCCTTGGGAATATCATACTCCTTTCCTTCTCTCGTTGTGACGGTGAAGTCACTGTGAGAATACCGGAGAAGCATAATCAACGGAGGGTGAAGCCTCAGAGCTTCCTTGATGCAGCGGTAGAGGACATCCATCTCAGATAGAATGTCATGATCCACCTTATCCCCATGCTGCCTCATTATCTCCCGCTGCTCCTCGAGAGCAGCTGAAAGGTACTTCCTGAAGCGCAGCAAGTAAGCTCCCGTCCAGGTGGAAGTGATGGAACTGGTGTGCTGGCCTGCAAAGAGTGCAGCGATGAGCAACCCTGTAATCTCTCCTTCTGTGGTTGCACGGCCATCCTTGTATTTTGAATCAATGAAGCACTGCAACATGTCATCCTCTGATTTGCCAGAAGTCTTGCGTGAACTGATAATGGTTGAGAAGATCTCCGCTATCCTAGCACGGGCACGATCCCGCCTGCGGTGGGCTGGGATAGGGAGGTAGGGGAATATGACACTGATGGGCTGCATGCCATTGTCAAGGTCATGAAAGAGGGCAGAGACATCATCAAAGAGCTTGTCCCTTACTTCTCTGCCCAACAGGCATCGGCTTGCTGTCAATATGATGAGATGTTCCAGCTCGTACTTCAAATCCACTGTACCACTCTCTCCCCATTTTGAGAAGTAGTCCTGCAGAAATAATGATAAATATAATTTAAAATCACTTAAAACTGTAGAACATATGGTGGCTAAGCCAACATTCTATCATTCTAAACAATAATAGTTAGGGCATAAATGCTATAAGCAATGAAATGCAGACAAGATGAAATTCAACTGTTCTACAAGGTAAATGATTAACCATTCATTTTGTTTGGTGTGTGTTTGTACAAAACAAGAAAGGAGCAGTGTCTTCAGACCCTTGACCAAAAGATGCTGTAATTTAGGTGCACAAAATCACCCTTGAAGATGGCCGTCAGTGACGTCATACCTCACAGTCCTGATGAGTGGGCCAATATGTGTGGATCACAGGCATCAAGTCTATGAGACACCATAACTCAGTCCATCTAATCAACAACTATTCCTTTGGCAAAAACAGCATATAGGCTGATGAATAATATTAAATGTCAATGAACTAAAGTATCATTACATGTCAACTAATTATGCCACATCATATTAAACGTCAACTAATTATGCCACATCATATTAAACGTCAACTAATTATGCCACATCATATTAAATGTCAACTAATTAGTGTCATTAAAATGGTCACAAGTCTGAAGTTGAAGTCGGTAAGAAGTCTAGCTCCAGAAAACAACATATATATATAAATGAACGACCAGAATGAAAAATCTAGATAAACAACAAAATCATATTCATCCAGGAAAGGGGTAAAAATGTGCTTTGTTGTAGTTTCAGTTCCTCTTATGTTTCCCTTCTTCCTTAACATGGTCTACATTCAAGTCCGGAAAATATAATAGTATCAATAAATGAAACTGATTTGAAAAATACTACCAACAGAACTTGCAGGAAATAAATCAGATTAAGAAAATATAACGCACCTTAAGCAAACCATCATTTAATAAACATATGTTGTAGGAAAAAAGTTAAGTGTCCTGAATTATGACTACAAAAGAATCAATCAAGTAAAGCAGACCTTCGTATTACAAGAACTTCGTAAAGTGTAAGTAGTAACAAACATTTTTTGAAGCCATGAATAGTAAGAAGTAACTAACCAGTTTTTAGGAACTTTATGAACAGTTTGGATAGAACTTTTAGTTTGACTTACAAGTTTCCAGTTCATGGCATCCAACTAGGAAAAAAAGTTACAGAATATACACCATCACATTTATCCATTTTAACGTCATGGGTCTCACCATTTCATATACAACGACAAAATTCAATGGAGGAGCAAACCCTTCTGAAATAAAACAATGCTCACAACAATCTGGATTTCACCACAAGCTTGTTCATTTGATCAAGATAATTAGCAACAATTGCTCAAACGAAAGTTAGGGCATATTAATCTAGACAAAAGTAGGCAATGTAGATCAATGTAGATCATGGATCCAGAGTCTGATGCTAAAAAAAAAAATTGATTTTAAAAGGCCTAGTTCATTTGATGAAGATAATCTGCAACTAAAGCACAAACTGGATGTTAGGGCATACTGTTCTGGACAAACGTAGCTAATGTATATCATGCATCTAAACTTGGAGAAACAAATGCTTATAACAATCTGGACTCGCCAGAAGCTCGTTCATTTGATTTAGATGAGTGTCATTTATCAACAAATGCCTAAATTGCATAGATTCAAGCAATCAGGGTTTTCTGCCAATGGAAAAGCAACTGAGGCAGATAATTACCTCTGTCTCGACAACCATGTGATCCACATAGCTCCTCAGTTTGGTCACCCTGAGCGCCTCCGTGAAGAATCGAAACTGCTCCTGCCGCACCGAGTAGTCGACGTCGAAGACAACACCCGGCCCAAAGGTCGGAACGTTGAACTGGTACACCTCCTGCTGGCTGAGCTGCGCCTCTGGTGCCTTGAAGAAGTGGCCCGACACCTCAGGCCCGATGAAGAAGGTGATCTTCCGGTTGACAACGTTCACCGTGAACACACTTCCGAGCTTTGCGTACTCCTCGCGGATCATCAAAATCGGGCCCCGCATGAACCGCAGCAGCCCGCCGATGACCGGCACCGCCGCGACTATCGGCGGCAGCGGCTTCCGGGACTTGGGAGCCAGGGCGGCGGCCACGAGCTTGGCGAGGACCAGGGTCGCCAAGAAGAGGAACCCCGCAGCGAAGAACTTGTGTTCCTTCAGATCCATCGCCGAAATCATGATCTGCACGGAGGAACCCTCAGCAAGGTTCGATCTTTATGACAAAAGAACCTTCAGATCTAAGCAGAACAAGTGTAAGATATTGGTAAAAGAAGAGCAGGAAGGCAGAGATTTAGATTATTGCCAAGAAATGCGCGGTGAAAAGGTCAAGAAATCGAGTTGAGACGACGGAAGAAGGAACAAATCGAACGGAAAACAAAAGGGGGGAGATCGAAGGAAGTGTTTACCTCAAATCCTGGAGGGAGGGGCAACCGACAAGGGCAGGAGACACGACAATAGGATTTGGATGGGGAGAGGTCGAGATGAGAGGCTTTAAGCACAGGCGGGCAGAAAGAATCGCTCCAACGGGTGGGAGATGCACGGAGAGAGTGAATCGTGGAAGATCAAAACGTGCATTTACATTACTAGCCCTCGAACTTGGATTCAATTTCAATTTCAATTCCAATTTGAATTTTTACGTAAATTTATTCCCTAATTTTTAATTGGCATTTGGATTCTACTTAACCCGTTTAATTAATCAACTTCTGTTAAATTTCCTGATTCTTGACCAGGAAAAATGATTAGATTGTCTAGCAAACTTCTGTCTAGCAAATTTCCTAAATCTTGACCAGAAAAATTGATTGGGTTGTATGGTATAACTTAATCTGTGTCTCAGCATCAATACTCATCATATTTTTTTTACAATAAATGATTAAAGTGAAATTTGATCTCAGGCCAATGCAATTTAACGTGGCAACTTGACATAAATATAAATATGTTTTATAAAATTTATTTCGTCAAAAAATTTATCACGTATACCCAATCATACCATGAATTTTAATCCCATGGGATATCTTGTGCCTTGTTATGAAAATTTTGGTGGTATATATGTGGGTTCCAAAAAGTTACTTTCCCTGTATAAATTTTGATACATGTTAGTGGTGTCTATAAAAAAAAAATTTATCAATTAAGTTAGATTACAGTTTTCATTTTTTTTAAAGATAAGAATTAATTTTTTTAGGATATGAGTTCCAACTTTCTATATAACATATAATTTTATCTATGCTTAAAAATTATATTATTACATAAGTGATATATCTTATATTTGAAGTCATGTGTGCTATTTAATATGATGAAGATATTTTTTTAATAAAAAATATTACTATAATTTTCTCCTGCATTATGTATGTACCTAGAAAATAATGTGGACTAGACAAATTAATCATGAAATTTTGAATTTAATATGTCTCAAATTTTAATTTTTACACCACCGAGTTAAACAGCACTCTTGTGAGCTCTCTCTCTCTCTCT